GGACTCAGCGCGGGTTCGATTCCATCTTTGTCGTTGTGGACCGCTTCTCGAAGATGGTCCATTTTATTCCGTGCAAGCGTACGACGGATGCACTACACGTCGCCCAGCTGTTCTTTCGCGAGATTTATTGTCTGCATGGGCTTCCTTCCTCTATTGTCTCCGACCGCGATACACGTTTTCTGAGTTTCTTTGGCGGAGCCTTTGGCGCATGACTAACACCCGCCTCGATTTCAGTAGTGCCTATCACCCGCAGACGGATGGGCAGACTGAGGTTGTCAATCGGTCCCTTGGGAATTTGCTTCGTTGTTTGGTCGGGGATAACGTGAAAAGCTGGGACAGCCGGCTACCTCAGGCGGAGTTTGCTCATAATTCGGCGGTGTGCCGGGCCACCGGTTTCTCCCCTTTTCAGATCGTCTACTCCGTGCAGTCACGGGGCCCATCTGATTTACTGGCTTTGCCGGCCCCGGGTGATGTTGACCGCCGCGCCGAGGACATGATGGCTGACTTGCGCCGGACGCATGAGGCGACCCGAGCCCGTCTTGAGCAGGTCACGTGCGAGTACAAACGGCAGGCTGACCGCCGTCGGCGCCATGTGGAGTTCGAGGAGGGCGATTTTGTGTGGGCTGTTTTGACTAGGGATTGGTTTCCGGCTCATGAGTATAACAAGCTGTCGGCTCGGAAGATTGGGCCTCTGGAAATCTTGCAGAAAATTAACCCCAACGCCTACCGTTTGCGTCTTCCTTCTCACATTCGCACTTCGGACGTTTTCAACGTCAAGCACCTTGTTCCTTTTCATGGCGACAATTCGGACGACGAGATCCCTCAGGATTCGAGGGCGAATCCTCCCCAACCCGGGGAGAATGATGGCGACGAGATCGCATTGGCGTACTTGGACAAGTTTGATCCTCTTCGTATTTAGCTATTTAGTTATTTAGTAATTTATCTTGTTATTTATTCCCTTTTATTTATTTCCTATGTTAGGATATTTATTGCTTTAAATAAATTAGGGTGGAGAGTCTATTTAAGAGGGCAGAACATTCATTGTTATTCAGTTTACGATTGAAATAAAATTATCTCTCTTGAGTTCTTCTGAGAATTCATATTGTTCCCACCGTACGTTTTCTACTGCGTCACATTTCCCGGCATTTCCCCCGATCAACCACAAAGGTAGAATGTCGTCCAACGTCCTCTTTAGTCGTCCCACACAACATAGAATCTCTACTTCCAAACCAAACACCCTCAGGCAACCCATCCTGCAAGGTGCACACATATCTGTAGTAGAAAAGATGACCCCAATAGCAAGATAATCTCGAAACTCGAGATAGCCCATATCCAAAGTCTGGAATAACATTGTTGCACCAAATGATATGATGTTGAAGGATATAATTGTCCCAACAGCACCAAACAACATAATACTCTTGCAATTCCTGATTTTTTTTTTTTCTTTTTTTCATCTGGGTGGCAAGAGATATACATTGTTGCACCAAATGATATGATGTTGAAGGATATAATTGTCCCAACAGCACCAAACAACATAATACTCTTGCAATTCTTGAATTTTTTTTTTTTTTTTTTTTTTTCACCTGGAACCCCGCATTAAAATTAATAGGTGGCAGTAGATATAGAAAAAAGAGCTTGTCATCGAATACCAAAAGTAATATCACTCATGTACCCAAACCCGTGGGATTCGTGGATGAAACAGAGCCCTCAGATTTTTGCTGCTTCACGTCATAAACTTGACCCCGCTTGCTTGGATTCTTATGTAGATGTGCATCTGAAGCCACATAGTCCTCCTCTTTCACCAGCTCCGGAGGCTCCGCAACGAAAATTGGCGGCTCGTTGTAAAAGCCGCACGTATCGTCAGTAATAAGCTCCTCGAGTTCTTCATCGAACACCGGCGGTCCGTCGTAGAATGAATCGTCTACACGAAACACTGATTCACATCGGGCATCGCCAACAATTACAGAACTGCTATAGCCACGGCCGATCGGGGGCCCTCTGCAGCCCTCAAACTCCTTGCCCAAGCAAGGGTCGACGCCGTCACATTCACCATCAGAATCAGTCGTTGCTCGCCTTTGTTCGAAATCACCTCCACCCCGCCGCTGCTCGCGAACTCGGGGCTGACCGAGGGTGTCGTCTCCTCGCCATGGTGGTCGATCTGTAAACAAGTTAGCCGACCCGGTAGAATCGCCAACGCCGTTGCCGTTCAGAGGTGGCTGCGATCGCTGCCGGGGTGCCTCGACATGGTTGCTTCCCCAACGTCCGCCTATGTCTCCCCCGCGATAGTCACGGCCTCCATCGAGGTCCGTCTGCAATTCCGTATTAACCACGTTGTTCGGCGTCAAACACAAATCCTCAATCCCCGTCGAAAGATCTGCAAACCAATACGTGAAACGCACGTCCAACTATTGAAATCGGTAGTCGATCTGTTGAAACCGATCGTTGAAGGTTGCGTCACGTTGTTTGTTTGCGACATCTTGTCGTCTGATTCGTGCTGACTTCTGATAATGAGTAAACGAGATACTCTCTCGTAACACGCAAATCTCACAATCAAATCATCTTTTATTTATTCAATAAATTAACTCACAAATAACAAAGAAAAGAAGTCTTTAAATAAGACACTACAAACCTTAGAAACAATCTTGTCCACCAAGCTACTAACTATTAATAATAATAATAATAATAATAATAATAATAATAATAATAATAATATTATATCCGCATCACTTACTAATTTCAGATAGAGTGGGTGAAAATAGTTATTCCCTTTTTCTAAACGAAATGTGCTATTTTTATCACTTGTGGTTATCCTATTTTAACCAAATGTGCTCTAAGATGACTATTACATCACATGTAAACAGTGACAATCTTGTGTGCACACTTGTATCTATCTACTGAACAAGTTACATTGCATAGTAGCAATTTCAGCAAAATAAAGCAGCCCCTTCCCCACATTAAAAAAAAAAAAAAAACAAAGAATAAAAAACAAAGAACCCAATATAGGTGTGCATATAATATCTATAATACAAAGAGATTCTATGGTCGCGTTACGAAACTATTCCGTCGAAGTTTATAACTATTAGATCAATTATTCCCGACGATTACATGATGATCCAACGGTTACAAACCCCGATAAAAATTTTCTTTTCCTTTTTTCTTTAAGAAGCACTTGTGCTGTGTTTGTTTCATTCTAGCTCCACCTTCCCAAGCTGGAAGACTATTCAAAATTCAAAGAAGAAGAAAAATATGGCTTTTCTCTGCGCTTGGCCGGTTCTATTTTGCTGACTAGGCATTCGTCTTCTTCTCTCTCTCCTCTTTCATATGCGTGGAAAGGCATGTCGATGGTATCTCTCTTAATTAATCAATCATAGAAAGGGGAGAAAATTTTCAAAATCTTGTGGAAAAAATTATTTATTTTTTTTTCTTTTAATAAATCCCACCAAAAATATGTCCTTTCCATCCTGTTCTTGCGTTCTGAGTTTCTTCTGTGTGACTGGAAAATTTTGATCTTGAGTATTTTTTTCAAAGGGCCCCCTTTGTGAGAATCTTGGAGTTTTCTTGGCGGTGTTTTCTGCAGGCCCGTGTTTTGACTTTCTTGGAAGATTCTTGAAAGGTTTTCTGTAGTTTTAATCGACAATTTTGCTACTGCTCATGATTATCTTTACTTACAGTGAATAAACACTTGTTATGGTTGTTTTCTTCTTCTTCTTCTTCTTCCCTGTCGATGATTTTAAGGTTTTACAGTCTTGATTTTAGGGGTTTTGAATTGCTATAATTAGGTTTTTGCTTATTGCCCTTTTTTTCTTGTTAGTTTGGTTTTGCTGTTACATGGCAATATGGCATGGTGTACTTCACCTTATCATGCCCGTCTTGTTTTGTATATGCAGATTCTGCGTTTATGTGAACCCAAGTTGCAGGGACAGTTTAGAGTGGGTATTCTACATATTTCTTCAGGAAGCATAAGTTTCGGGTAATATTTGGTTTCTGGGCTCCATCTATTTGAGCATTTGGTTGCTTTTCTTGTTGTTCTTGGTTGAATTGTTGCAGAATTACGAGTCGTCGAATTCGTTTATGTGTTAAGTATAGACTTTTTCCTTCTGCAACATTAGTTCACAAAAATGGCTTTCTGAACTCAAACTGTTAACTGCATTAGAATAGAAATTCTATTCAGTTTTCTTGTGTAGTGATATGATCTGCCTTCTCTGGTTTTGGT